TGTATCCGGGTTACGCGAGGGGGCGGGGTTGAGGGGGGTGAGGCCAGAGGCTCCTCCCGGGGGCGGGGCCGGGGCGGGGCAACCGAGTTCCTGCGACGGGAGCGCTGGACCTCTTCCGCTGTGCGGGACGCTTCCGCTGCGGGTTTGGGTGTGCGAATGTTTTCAACTCGTTTCTGTAAGTGTCAGAGCTTTTTTTTTCCACGAGGGGAAGTAATGCCGCGTTCCTTGTAGAAACTGAAATGAATAGTCCCTTTGAATGACAACGGCTGACTGAAATGAAGGCAAGGGTAGTTTAGATTTCTCATCCCTCTTAGATAATTGAGAAACAGGAAAATACAAGTCCTGTTAAGTGATCCAAGTGCTTTGTCTGCATTTGTGTGGACAGAGACTGCAGATTTAAATCGCCTCTCTGCGCTCTTCCAGAGAGAGCCCGGAGCAGGGTGGTGACCAGAGGAATTTATCTGGTCCTTTGTTCTGCTGGTATGTCCGGTTGTGATTAAATTTTTATGACTTTTTATGTATGTGTGTTTGTAGACATACACTCCCGCATACATGTATATGTGTGTGTAGATTTGTTTTCTTCCACCTACAAGAATTGACTGTCCTCTTTACGGATGAGGAACAGGGCTTTCATGAACACTCTGGACTTCTCATTGCAAAAGATGCTTTACCATGCCTTCCTCACAGAGGTTGAGATGGAAAGAAATTGCATGAGAATGTCCTCTTGATCTAGTGACTATTCCAGGATGGCATATCTAAATGTAATTCTTTGAGTCAGTATTTGCCCCACCAAAATGTTACAGACACATTTAACAAAAATAGATATCTTCATACCATTGATCTTAGCAATGACAGTGAATACTTACTGAGGTTTAATAAACGCTGATAAGTATTAGTAAGTTTATCTTCCATCTTAAAAGTGAATACTATTATTCTTAAATTTTAGAGTATTTATGTAACGTCAAAACAAACAAAAAAGAATATTTATATAAAGTCAACTTAAAGTGCCCTGATTTACTGTTCTTAGCCAGAAGTCACAGGTATAATGTGGGCTTTAATATTAATGACAATAAAAACTGCAAGTAACTATATAAAATAAATTCTGAACATCCTTTGCTAAGCAAGTCATTAGACAGTATGACCTTTAAAACATCCTAAGAGTTCAGGGCATTTGTAGAATATACATTTTGTTGTACAGATACCATAAAGAGTATGAATTTCCTGGTTTCCCTGCCAGTACTCTGTAACTAGCTTAAAAATAACCATATCACAAAATCAATTACAAATAAAAATTAATAAAAGAGCAGCCCATGGAGTGTAGTCAGCATCAGATCTTAAGAAAAACGGCATTGTCCTTGTCAGTTTTTGAGAGGGATTTATTCAACAAAACTCATTTAGGGAAGTTGAAAGTGAAGGTCACAGAGTACTTAATGGTTACCAAATCCAGGGGTAAATATAAAGGTCAAGGTTGAAGTATAACAGCTTCAACAGAACCAACTCAAGCTGTACTATGAGATCAACAAAGTTTGTTAGTTGGATTGTGGTTATGAAAATATTTAAAACTCTATTGGAAAGTCTGGCTGCGGTTTGTAAAAATAAACTGAATAATATTTCACAAGATTGCTGGAAGAAATATTCGACCACGTTCACTGTAACATTATGCAAGCATTAATGGAACCACTTACAAAGATAATAAAAACACCAGAGAATTGATAATGCAGGAAAGGAATTTAAGAATTAAAGGAGAAAATATGAGTTTACAGATAATAGCTCTATGAAAACATAGAGAGGGGCTCTAATCTGTTACAATTGATAATAGGTGGTTGATAATGACAAAAGATAATATATAATCATTAAAAGAAATTTTATGACAGAAAAAAATTATTGTGGGATAGTGATGTTGGCTTAGAACATTCATAGGAATTTGATTGAAAGGTTGTTTTTCTAGTAGCAAGTTGTTAAAAACTCTAAAAAGCACATTCATATTAGTGAAAGTCACATGAAAGTAAATTTAAAATAAATTGCAAGCACTTTAGCACATATGATCAACAAGGAGTGAAGTAGGTATTTTTACATGTTGTTATATCCTCTGTCCTAATTCAGATATTTTGCATATACAAACTCAGTAATTATTTATGAATGTGGTCTTGTAAAACCCAAGTTTAGTATATTTATCTATTGTTTAAAGTGTTTTAAAAAGCTTTGAATCCAACAAATATATTAACATTGATTTTGTAGTTCAAAACATTTGTTTTGCAAGTTTACAAATCAACTGAAAAGTAATTGCTTTGGTACTGTTAAGATGTCAAATATTATTTTGAGTATGTTTTTGTTTTTTTAATCAAATCCAATGTTTGACAGAGGGTAAATCCAGTTAATAATTAAAATTTCCAACATTATGTCTTATTCCCCAAGTGGTCTGAACTCATATTACTTTTTTTTTTTTTAAAGATTTATTTATTCGCACTGAGCAGGGGTACGGGCCAGAGTTGCGGGAGGGTGAGAGGATTTACCAGGGACAGAGTGAGGAGCAGAACGGGCAGATCGACCAAGTATACTGCTGAGGGGAGCAGTGGGCGGGCCAGGAGAGGTCTGCCGTGCCATGTGTCACCTCTGGGGCAGGCGGGGATCGAACTCATGCGGAAGTGGCTTAAGCTTCTTTGTGCTGTGCTTTAACCCACTGCGCCACCAGGGAGGGCCTCATATTACATTTTTGCTTACTATCTACCCAAACCTTAGGTAAAGTAATTTTGAAACTCCATTTGGTTAAAAATGTTCAATCCAGTATTTATAATTTTCTAGACTGTAAGAAAAAGCATTAGAATATTTTTATCAATTATGATTAGAATATATATGAATTTTTTAATAATTTATATTACACAACAATTTTAATATGTATTGTTACTATGCAGATTTGGGTATAACGCAACCCAAGTCCTATCACCCAGAATGTAAGAGCTCAGTATATCAATAAAGTGCCCTGATTTACTGTTCTTAGCCAGAAATCACAGGTATAATGTGGGCTTGACTAATATATCTCAAACATTTTGTCAGTTAAAAAAAGTAAAAATAAAAAAAAAATTATGTATATATAACAAAAGAAAATTTCACTGAAATAATAATGTTTACCCTTACTAATACTTGACATTATTTTTTTGTATTCTTCAACACTGTAAATTGATTTCATAATTTTGTTAATAGGTCATTATTACAAGACCGCTGGTATTCTCTGTTTCTTTGCTTATTTTTCCAGCAAAGGCATTAGCTTCCTTTTTCAAGTATATTATCTTCTCAAGGATGTTTGTATAGCAAGGATGTTTGCTGTTCAAACATCCTGGAGAAGGCAGAGATGATGTCTCTCTCCAGAGAAAAGGACAAGTGTGTTTTCTGTAATTTATAATAAAGAAAATGGCAGGCAAGCTTAATGCCAATGATATAAGGCTCACTATGCCTAAGCTCCAAATCCCTCTTCTCTGAGGTTTTCACAGTCTAAAAAGATGAGACACATCCAAATTGCTCTAGGTAAGAGTTGATGTATGACACTTCTGTAGTGCAACCCATTCTTGCAGGCAGGAGTTTTAACCTTCTCAGTGTTACCCTATGCTGACACTCTAAATGACACAATTACTTTGTCTCTGAACTGAGAATCTCATGTCTCTGCCAGCATCCATGAAACTAGCAAATTATCTTGTTAGTTTAAGTAAGGTCATATTTCAGATCTTTCATAGTTCTTGGCAATCATAATTACCACCTCATCAGTTAAACCATAAAGCCAATTTTTCCCAATTAATTTATCTTAGTCCCACAGCAAATAGAAAATATTATTTCTTCCTGCAGCATCAATTGACTAGCACTGTATTATGTTACAAAATAATTTTTAGAAGCAAATATTCTTTTAGGACAGTTTCTTTCTCATCTGTCTTCATCCAGAAGCCTCATTCAGATATGGGAAGTCTCCTGCTTGTCTTTGAGGTTTTCAGAGAATAAAAAGATGAGACACACCCAGATTTCTCTAGGTATGAATTTAGGTGTGATATCTGAAGTAATGAGGAACCCCAGAACATTCTCAGCAAATTAACATAATTCTGTCTCTCAGTGCTTCTAAAATTATAATGGTCAACAGGTCATAAAAGTGCTTTAAAAATGAATCATAGTCATGTTATATGCAAAAGCAACCCCAGTGATCTACTTTTCTTTACTCTATCTTGTTCACACCAACACAAAATGCTCTGTTTGAGTCAGTCATTCTGGAGTGTTTCGCATCAAGTTACTCATTATGCCTCAGTTCCCACATCATCTACTTCATTATCTTTGGCTCTGGGTGAGTCATTTCAGTAAGGGTCACAGCATTACTTTCATATGGCAATCATACAAATTGTAAAAGTCAACTCATAGCTATTTGAAGAATAGCCTGATTTTTTTTCATTTTTTTTCTTGTGAGGACAAAACACAGTTCTAGCATTCCCCACCTAACAGTTCTCTAGAAACATCTTAAAGTCTTTATACATATGGCAAAGTTATAAACACAGTCTAGGTGAACTTGATATCTGAAAACCTTAGAAGTTAAAGAACCAGGAGATAATT